AATTGCTGAAGCCTTTAGCACCCGACAAGTCCAGTATGAATTATATCCTCAAAAAGAGATGGTCACTAACCGGATACCTTAGTAACTAGTGGTACTACCCACACCTTTTGAATACTTTTGTTCATATTCCCGCGTCCCATTTGTCTCATGCATTTATCAGTTCCTGTCTACACAGTTGTTTTACAAGTCTATCCAGCTAGAGTCCCGAGTAGGACGAAAACATGGGTCCTAGATTCCGCTACTTGCTACTATCCTTCTGGTTAGAAATGGTTTAGGTTTTTGTGTACCTCTAAATGCTCCTTTTATCAACATAAAACCACTGTCAACTTAGTTCTGTTTAAGTTTATAAAGGTCTGCCTTGGGTGTTAGCGCCGATAGTCTAAGAGGAGACTAGAGAAATGAATAACCAGCAACTCCTACATCGGAAATGAAATGATAGATTTTTTGAGTATGGACGCGTGGAAAAATATCTCTATTCCTCCGGAACCATGCGTAGGGGTGCCACAAACGAAATTATTTTTTAATCCCCGAGGTGAGATTTCGGTATTTCATTGCGCAAACTGACCTACTTAGTGATCCATCCAGTAAGTCACGCTTAGAAAAATCGTAAACACACATTCTTTTTGTCTCTGATCACCGGCAGCTGAACTGCCAAGAAACATACTCCAAATTCTTTTCGTCTGATTTGTGAATGACTGAATCAGGAATGTTCCGAGATCAGTCGACACCGGTTTCATGAAGTTTCTGAGTCATTGTTGACTGTTCAACTCCACACCTCAACATGTTTGCCTACTTCCAAGTTATCTCAGAACTTTTTCAAGATATAGAAGTATTTTGTGAACAATTTCCTTATGAATTCTGTCGTTATCCATTCATTTACTTTTATACTGATAATTCACCAATAGATGTGTTCTGTTTTTTCTAAATCAAGTCAGGTTTCGCTGCATTGCGCAGAAGTACTGCTTCAGTTAGCCGACTTCTGTTTTGATAAAATATGGCTCAGACTTCAACTGACTGGATGATGATGATATTACCTTATAATATTTTTATCTTTAAAAATCTGCCCAAATACCAAGATACAGGTGAGTCTGACTGATTAGACTTGAAGAGGCATAAATAAGCATCCCCTTAATTCAGTGCTAGCCACCATCAAGCATGTAGTATTAAAAACCAAAACTAGGGTTGATGAAATGAATTTACGTAGATTCGTGTGGAGATATCGCTTGTTATAAGCGATTTCTCGAAAAAATGTGTCGTTCTAGAAATTGAGATAATGGTCAAGATAGGCTAGAAGTTATTTAATTCGGAAGCTTGTGAGAAATGACTGATTTCAAGGTTGGCATTCATCACTGACTATCACCATTTGGAGAAACCTAGGAGCACTGGACATCTATTTCGTCGTGATATGGGGCCACTTAGAAGTAAGCACTCGCAACCTCACCAGGGGTCTGATGAGAAACTGTGATCTGTAAGGTTGACCAAGTTGGAAATGAAGATAGATACTTGCTGATTGTATTGGCTGATGACGGTCATGCTTCACTGCGAATCGGTAGACGTAAGAAAAATATGAACCATTGGATTCCAATCCAATGGCTGATTGGTTAAAATGCTTATTGCGAGACCTGACCGTCCTGGGCTCAGTTGCTTGGTGGGCACTGTTGAGAGGTCTCATTCTACGACAGAACAGCTGTTCACTCCCACTTTTTCAACGCTTCATCAACTGATGTTAGTCCATGATGAATATTATTTTGATATGCTAGTAGTATATTTTGTATTTTTCAATCTACCTCCATTAACTAGCAATCATTTCAAACAATGGTAGTTTATATCGAATGCGAATTATGCATGAAATGAGCATCATTAAATTGTAGTTCCATAGTGACTTTCAAAATAGATCGTATTGGTATGAATTTCTCAAACATCTTTCGTAGATAGAAGGCTGAGTTGAATTCTGTCGTTATCCATTCATTTACTTTTTATACTGATAATTCACCAATAGATGTGTTCTGTTTTTTCTAAATCAAGTCAGGTTTCGCTGCATTGCGCAGAAGTACTGCTTCAGTTAGCCGACTTCTGTTTTGATAAAATATGGCTCAGACTTCAACTGACTGGATGATGATGATATTACCTTATAATATTTTTATCTTTAAAAATCTGCCCAAATACCAAGATACAGGTGAGTCTGACTGATTAGACTTGAAGAGGCATAAATAAGCATCCCCTTAATTCAGTGCTAGCCACCATCAAGCATGTAGTATTAAAAACCAAAACTAGGGTTGATGAAATGAATTTACGTAGATTCGTGTGGAGATATCGCTTGTTATAAGCGATTTCTCGAAAAAATGTGTCGTTCTAGAAATTGAGATAATGGTCAAGATAGGCTAGAAGTTATTTAATTCGGAAGCTTGTGAGAAATGACTGATTTCAAGGTTGGCATTCATCACTGACTATCACCATTTGGAGAAACCTAGGAGCACTGGACATCTATTTCGTCGTGATATGGGGCCACTTAGAAGTAAGCACTCGCAACCTCACCAGGGGTCTGATGAGAAACTGTGATCTGTAAGGTTGACCAAGTTGGAAATGAAGATAGATACTTGCTGATTGTATTGGCTGATGACGGTCATGCTTCACTGCGAATCGGTAGACGTAAGAAAAATATGAACCATTGGATTCCAATCCAATGGCTGATTGGTTAAAATGCTTATTGCGAGACCTGACCGTCCTGGGCTCAGTTGCTTGGTGGGCACTGTTGAGAGGTCTCATTCTACGACAGAACAGCTGTTCACTCCCACTTTTTCAACGCTTCATCAACTGATGTTAGTCCATGATGAATATTATTTTGATATGCTAGTAGTATATTTTGTATTTTTCAATCTACCTCCATTAACTAGCAATCATTTCAAACAATGGTAGTTTATATCGAATGCGAATTATGCATGAAATGAGCATCATTAAATTGTAGTTCCATAGTGACTTTCAAAATAGATCGTATTGGTATGAATTTCTCAAACATCTTTCGTAGATAGAAGGCTGAGTTGAATTCTGTCGTTATCCATTCATTTACTTTTTATACTGATAATTCACCAATAGATGTGTTCTGTTTTTTCTAAATCAAGTCAGGTTTCGCTGCATTGCGCAGAAGTACTGCTTCAGTTAGCCGACTTCTGTTTTGATAAAATATGGCTCAGACTTCAACTGACTGGATGATGATGATATTACCTTATAATATTTTTATCTTTAAAAATCTGCCCAAATACCAAGATACAGGTGAGTCTGACTGATTAGACTTGAAGAGGCATAAATAAGCATCCCCTTAATTCAGTGCTAGCCACCATCAAGCATGTAGTATTAAAAACCAAAACTAGGGTTGATGAAATGAATTTACGTAGATTCGTGTGGAGATATCGCTTGTTATAAGCGATTTCTCGAAAAAATGTGTCGTTCTAGAAATTGAGATAATGGTCAAGATAGGCTAGAAGTTATTTAATTCGGAAGCTTGTGAGAAATGACTGATTTCAAGGTTGGCATTCATCACTGACTATCACCATTTGGAGAAACCTAGGAGCACTGGACATCTATTTCGTCGTGATATGGGGCCACTTAGAAGTAAGCACTCGCAACCTCACCAGGGGTCTGATGAGAAACTGTGATCTGTAAGGTTGACCAAGTTGGAAATGAAGATAGATACTTGCTGATTGTATTGGCTGATGACGGTCATGCTTCACTGCGAATCGGTAGACGTAAGAAAAATATGAACCATTGGATTCCAATCCAATGGCTGATTGGTTAAAATGCTTATTGCGAGACCTGACCGTCCTGGGCTCAGTTGCTTGGTGGGCACTGTTGAGAGGTCTCATTCTACGACAGAACAGCTGTTCACTCCCACTTTTTCAACGCTTCATCAACTGATGTTAGTCCATGATGAATATTATTTTGATATGCTAGTAGTATATTTTGTATTTTTCAATCTACCTCCATTAACTAGCAATCATTTCAAACAATGGTAGTTTATATCGAATGCGAATTATGCATGAAATGAGCATCATTAAATTGTAGTTCCATAGTGACTTTCAAAATAGATCGTATTGGTATGAATTTCTCAAACATCTTTCGTAGATAGAAGGCTGAGTTGCTTTGAGCTGTAATGTAAGTGTGAAGTCACACTATGAGTCATAATTATCTACAATATGTTAAGGCTTTTTTGCAGGTATTGCACATCATCACTGCCTTTCTTCATCACCTTAAATTATTTTTCTAACTGTTCAGAGTTTCCCCTACTTGCTAATTGTTTCCAGCTATGAATTGCAGTGATGTGAAATGATAAAATCTCCTGGTGACATAGAATTACATTAATTTCTCACCTTTCGTATATTCTACTGGGTATTGTGAAAAGTGTAAATGAACTTCAAGACGCTATCTTCATGGATCAAATTTGTGCTGTAGATAATAATGTTCTCATGAGCTGTAGCGCAAACTTCATTGCATTTTATATAATGTTTAGTCTGACTGTAGTATTTGCGAGTGCGTAGTAGACATATAGTACATACACTTGTAACTGTTTGCTTACACGGAGATAAAAAGTTCATTGAATAACTGATTAAAATGTAGAAATATACATGCCTAGTCTCAGTAAAGACTAAGTAGGCTTCTTCTGTTTTACTTGGAAAGCGAAACCTCAACTCATTTACAGTGTATGGCACAGTATTGTATTCTACCTAATAGTGCCCATACTTTGAGTTGAAAACTGTCCTAATGTTCTAAAATGTTGTGTGTTTATTACCAACAGTAGTTGTAAAGTTTATATCACAATGTCACTCACCCACTTGCAGTTTATTCTTTATGGGATAAACCATGCTGAATGCACTTCAGTCCAGACATCGTACAACTGTGTCACTATTCTGTAGGTTCCTTTCTTTGAACATACTCTACCGTCACGTTCTACTGCTGCTTCAAATTTATCTTATATTAATATAACAAAACTTGTACTCTCTTAACGCTTATTTTCTTTTTAAATGTTGACAATCATTTCCGTTCATTCCATGAATACGATAACCTGGCTAATCGCAAAATAAAGAACGGGAATATGCCCTTGCACAATGCCTTTGCTATCATTGTTATTGCTATACCCTATTTCTTAAAATATGATTTAACGAAAGAGAATGATAATCAACGTGATATCGAAAACAGGGATGGAAATGATGATGAAGTGACATTTTAGTTTTCACATTAAAAGCATGCCTGACGACTGTCATATTGAGTAATTTCTCACACTTTACATTCATGTGTAGTAGAAAAGCTTTTTTAAAGCAATTAACGATAGAAATAGATAAACTAGCTGAGGTTGAATAGTTCCCTTCAACAGATTAACGCTAGCCATTGGACACAAGCTGTAAAAATCAGATCTTGGTTACTCTAAAGCTAAATTCAAGAAAAAGGCGAATTTTGTAACCATGATTCAGGTATCTAGTCTTTTGAAACCCTTTGATTTTCTTAGGTCCATGCAATCATACGATAAGGTAGGTGGTTATTTTTCAACAATACTAATCATATCACCCCATCTGGGGAAAAACAACGATTTGAGTATTTTATTGACTATATCTTCAGTACCAAATGAACCCATTTTATCAGTAAAAAGGAACGTTTATTTTGACTGGTACAACTTTATGTTGCAAAATGCTTTTAAATAATACCCTCTGGTACATAAAGCTCCGGCTACTTTGAAAATTAGATAAAGTAACTGTGGTATCATACATTCAAGCTACATTAGTAGGGTAACAGAAAATTTTCGAAGTGCTGTCGGTATGCACTGAATGCGTATTTAGTTAATTCATCATGACTGAATTCTGAATTGAATGGTTATTGCGAAGTATGCGCTGTAAATACTTGCCCGGAATAAGTCGGTGAACGTCAGACGAGCCTTTGATGTCTGAAATAAAACCCCTTCAGTAACCAATATCTGGTGCTTTCACTGGATTATTGGACACAGATTGTTCACCTAAGGGAGTTGGCAAACTAGGATTTTAATCGAGTAGTCTATATGGGCTCCGCGATCCATAACAGATGAATGGCGTACGAACCTACCTCCGTCAACAACAGCAATTGGAATGCAGTGCATAACAGTGCTGTGTTGTCTTGTGTATCAGACTTTAAGTTAAAGGCTCGGAGAGTGATCCCTTAGGTTAACGATCTGGTTCAGTACAGGCGTTCAAATTTTATCACAACTTATTTACAATTAATGAAGTAGCATGGAAACCAAAGAATCCTATGCACTACCGGAACTTTCCGATAGGCACTCAGAGCTGTATTATGCAAATAAAACTGAGTCATTTCATAGTTGCCATTGTTAAATGTGAACTAAACCGTTTTTACGATATCAGACTGAAATTCGTCTTGATTTGCATTCTTTTTTCACTCAGCTGAGACTATGAAAAGCTTTTCTGCTGATGTAGGCTAGACCCCAAAGATTCACATAGAAGGTCACGCTGAGGTGCTTCAAATAACTTCGGTTGTGAACTCAAAATTGTGTTCTGGGTGCTCTGATCGATCGGTGCGCTGATGTCGCACTCAGTGCCACAATGAAAGATGCGCTGGTCTAGTGGATTACTGTTACCAGTCGTTT